GGGCGAAACAGTGAGACTCTGCCTCAAAAAAATAAAATAAAATAAAAATGTATTGTTTATTAAAATGCAGAACAACAATAAAGCTGGCTGAAGATCAAAATAATCTGGTGGTCCAAGAGGTTACCTGCCTCCCCTGCGGGCTCTGCCTGTGGCCTAGATAAACCAGCTTTTTGCCTTCAGTGGTGGGCAGACACCAGTGTCATTTGCTATTTCCACAATCCTCAATCGGAATGTCTACTGGAGACAGGTCTTAACACAAGTAGAGGAAAAAGCTGGTACAAATATACCTGTAATAAAACTGACTTAAAGAGCAAGTTATTCCCCTTCTTGGGAATAAAGACAACTTCTCTTGGTGGGAGATAAATTTTTGTTAAAGTTGTTATCTAAAAGTTATTAAAAATGTCCCAGAGCAGAAAAAAAGTAAATAGAAATATAGTTTGTAAGATGCAAGTCAAACTTGGAAGTGGTATTGGTGGGGGGTGGGGCAGTGACTGGAGTGTCACTGAGCCCAGGAGAGGTCACGGGAAGGCAAGTTCTCATATCCTGCTTAGGAACGAGATGTTGAGATGAGCAGAAGTAATCGACCATGGTGATTCTGGGAAAACATAAAAAGCAAAATTGTTAAAAAACAAAGCGAAAGAACTAAAACTGAAGGTGTGATTTCAGATTCATGGTGACTGCTTCATGGAAATCATGCTCTTGTCACTTGTTCAAGGTCAGTAGAAATAACGGCATCTAAGCAACTCTACTACTTCTCACATGGAGGTAAGTGAACCAACACAAGGGCAGAAAAGCGTTCATAAATCACTGTGTTAGGACAATGAAACAATTAGAATCAGACTTTTCCTTACTAATTACAATGTTTTAAGTAGATTAATTTCCCATGAAAATTCAAAATTATATTCACAGCCCACTGAAGAAAGTACCTTGCAATACCTGGAGATAATTTGTCCAGCGCTTAGCCCTAATGATGGCTCATGTTTACTAAGTGTTTACTGTACCACCAGGTACTGTGTTACATGCTGTGCATTTATTCTTCAGGACCCTATGAGGTAAGTGTAATTTTGTAGATAAAGGACTGTAACTTAGTGAGAGGGGCCAGGATTCAACTCATGTTTCTAACAAATAAGCTGTCTCTAGAGCAGCAGTTAACTAAATTTTGGCTCTCACAGATCTCTTCCCTTAAAGTCAATCCATTGACTCATTAAAATAAGTCTCACCTCAGATTATACTTAAAGGCATTCATCTGGAAACCAGAAAATGTTAACATTAAGCATTACAGTACTGTGATAACGTTTGTGTTACAATGAAAGTCTAACGAATCTTAAAACATATGGAGAAAGGTACTCAATTTTGTAGACTTGGAATACTATCTGGAAAAAAAACAAAACAATAGCAGTACATTCTGGTTTCTAGAATTTATTGAAGCTAATATGTGTAGTATATTGTTAGAAACCATTCTATTAACCAAATTATTTCTTAATTTGCAAGGAAAAAAACAGGCTTATTGTAAAGAACTCAGAAAACTGGCACGGAGTGTATTCCTTCCTAAGTCAGAAGTGATTCCTATTAATTAACCTTGTGGGATATTTCCTTCAAGTCGAACAGTTCAGAATCTTCAGTTGTCAATAATAACCCTAAATAAATTAATGCAAAATTTCTAAGCAAATTCTAAATAAAATGCTCAGTTTCATTTGTATTTTACCTTATCTAACTCTAGGAAAACATTTAAACACATGGATGATATTGTTTCCTAATCATAATTTCCTCCCAAAAGATTTACCATATATTGTAAATCATTTATCACATAATGTATGTTTTTAAATATTCCATTAGACCCTCCATTACTGCAGAGGATGTCTATCATCAAAAAAAATGCAGTCTTAACCACAACAATCCAATCTTGATTTATAATACTTAAGAATCATTACAGTTGAGTTCAAAAGTCAGCGGTTCTGTGTTCTATTTCACGCTGTTAAAGAACAATCTGGTTAAGATGAAGAGCCTAAGCTCTGAGGCCAGATTACTGGAGTTCAAACCCTAGCTCAGCCATTCAACTAGTTGTGTGATAACACTTTGTTCTAGTTACAAGAGTAACATCTAGTTTTAAGTTTCTCAAGTTTTAGGCAGGATCCATTCATTAACTTGCTCTGTGACTTAACTACACGGCTTAGGTTAGCCATGAGATATACCTTAAAATCTGCTTGCTTTGTTCACATCTCAAGAGAGTTAATAAAAAAAATAATGCTAATGAAGTACTTCAAACTCTTAAGTGAAATACCAAAATACCAAAGCAATAGGATTTCCATTTTTAATTATACACAAGTCTTAATGTTATCATATATATTTACTCATAACCAAATAACTAATGCAAATTTAATAATAACTAGGGCAATGCCTAACCACATAATGAGTTGTGAGACACACATATGACTATCAGGAATGCAAGAGTAATTGATATAATTATATCACCACAAGATAGAGTAAGAGGTCTCAAAAACACACACATACTCACTTTCCTGTCAAAAGTCTACAGATATGACATTCCGTTCTGCCATCTCATGGTGCTATAATTAGATATTATTCTGTTGGATCAGCCTCCTATGCAAGAATAAAATAAAAATAATAAGCAGTTTCATAAAAGCCAAGAAATTAGTTGAAGGAAAAGATTAAGCACACAAAGGAAAGTGGTGACACTACTTTCTAAAATGGCAAAAAGCATGACAGAATGCCAGAGTGGAGTTCCAAACTAACGTAAGTTTAAAAAATAAAATCTAGCCAGGCACAGTGGCTCACGCCTGTAATCCCAGCACTTTGGGAGGCTGAGGTGGGTGGATCACCTGGGGTCGGGAGTTTGAGACCACCCTGACCAACATGGAGAAACCCCATCTCTATTAAAAATACAAAATTAGCCAGGCATGGTGGCACATGCCTGTAATCCCAGCTACTCAGGAGGCTGAGGCAGGATAATCGCTTGAACCCGGGAGACAGAGGTTACAGTGAGCCAAGATCATGCCATTGCACTCCAGCCTGGGCGACAAGAGCAAAACTCCGTCCCAAAAAAATAAAAACAAAAAATATATGTATTTTAAAACCAAAATAATACCGCTTTAAAAACATAACTCTCTTCCTAATTCCTTTAGTGCAGAGAATGTCAAAGACAGCTTCAACTAGTCTCTTAAAAGGAGGACAAGGAGTTTGAATAACATTTTTAGCATTGCCTTTTTTATGACATTGAAAATTGTGCAAAATCATAAAAAAGGACACTCTAAGTTCTGTAGGGACTTTCATAAATTTTAGGTAGGACCATTTAGATTTATAGTCAATGATTGTCTTTTCATTAAATAGTAGTGCTTTTATTTGCTTGAGCTTTACATTCAGAATTTCTTTAAGGGGTATAGTGTTTTAAAATTTTACCCAAAAAAGTACATGCCATGTCAAACATACATAAGTAAAATTAGAAAGCAAAGGGTTAATATTCTTGATAAGTAATAATGCTCCATAAATTTATCAGAAAGAGATAATCACTCCAAAAGGAAAACATAAGGGGTATTTTCAAGCAATCTACAAACAATATGGTTAATAAGCAATACAAATTATCACTTATTAGTGACCTGATTAAAATGGTGACATTAATAATGAGATTTAGTGGCCAGGCACAGTGGCTCACGCCTGTAATCCCAGCACTTTGGGAAGACAAGGTGAATCACCTGAGGTCAGGAGTTCGAGACCAGCCTAGCCAACATGGTGAAACCCCGTCTCTACTAAAAACACAAAATTAGCTGGGCATAGTGGTGCATTCCATGCAGCTACTTGGGAGGCTGAGGCAGGAGAATCGCTTGGATCTGGAAGGCAGAGGTTGCAGTGAGCCAAGATCGCGTCATTGCACTCCAGTCTGGGCAACAAGAGCAAAGCTCCGTCTCAAAAAAAAAAAAAAAGAGAGAGAGAGATTTAAATGATTTTTTGCTTATCAGTCTAAAGAGAAAGATTTATCATAATTGGTGTTGATAAGGATGTAGGGAAGCAGATGTCGTTGATGAAAGCGTAAACTGTGCAGCCTTCCTAGAGGGTCTTAAATGGAGACATGTTTTTACTTAGAATTCCAACTTCTAGGAGTTCTTGACAGTAACTCTTTTATACACAAAGATTTACCTGTAAGGATATTATTCATTGTTGCTTGTTTTTCTTTTACTTTTTTTTGTTTTTTTGAGATGGAGTCTCACTCTGTTGCCCAGGCTGGAGTGTAATAATGGTGTGGACTCGGTTCACTGCAATCTCTGCCTCTTGGGTTCAAGTGATTCTCCTGTCTCAGCCTCCCGAGTAGCTGCCATTACAGACATGCGCCACCATGCCGGGCTAGTTTTTTGTATTTTTAGTAGAGATGGGGTTTCATCATGTTGGCCAGGCTGGTCTCGCACTCCTGACCTCAAGTGATCCACCCGCCTCAGTCTCCCAAAGTGCTGGGATTACAGGCGTGAGCCACCATGCTCGCCTATTAATTGTTGTTTGTAACAGCCAAAACCTAGCCACAGTCAAAGTTCAACAGCCAGCAGTTAGCTAAGTAAACTCTTGTATATTCACGTGCTGGAATACTATGTAACTAGTAAAAGCCATGAAATAGAAATATTAATGACATCACTGGCCAGGCACAGTGGCTCATGCCTGTAATTCAAGCACTTTAGGAGGCCGAGGAAGGTGGATCACCTGAGACCAGGAGTTCAAGATCAGCCTGGTCAACATGGTGAAACCCCGTCTCTACAATTAAAAAAAAGAAGTAATGAGAAATATTAATGACATCGGAAAACGTTCAACTCCATTAAGTGAAAAAAGCAGGTTATAACATTATATATAGCCTGATACCAATTTTGGTTTTTCTTCTATTTATAACAAGTACTTTATTTTCTTCTTTGTGCTTTTCTAAATTTCCCAACGTACATGTATTACTTTTATAATAAAAATATGATAAAACTACTAATTAAAACAAACCACAAAACTCTTGATTATTATATTTTCATTTATAATATACAATTTTCCAATCAAATTTACACTTGTATATTCAGTTGAGTAGAAATATCTGGTTAAATACAGGTTTCAGATGTGTGTGTTCAACACAAAAAGGACACTGAGAAAAATTTATAGATCATTTCAGGAGACTATTTAAAGCTAATAAGCATGGTTTGGAAATTTCTCACTGAAAAGCTGGAACTACATATCCCATTTAAGAAAAGACTTGAAGATCTATTATTCTAACCCATTGCTTGTTTTGCAGTCTCTTTACAATATATCTAAATAAATTTATTTTCTGAATATTCAAATTTGAGTATTTCAGCAATTTAAAGCATCAAAATGACCCTCCAAACAGTAAATATTATAAAATTGCCAATTATTACTTATGAGAAATAACTTACTGAAAACCTATTTACAAATTAACAGCCCATCCATCCAAAGATTATACGCATTTCAATATTATAATTTATAAGAACAAGACATCCAATCTGCTCAAAAAGAAAATACAAATTAATCTAGCATATTGAAACCACTTGCTTTTGCCAGTACAACAAAATATCTGTAAATTATGTAGTGCTCAATAAAAGTGGATGTAAGTTTATAATTGAAACTTCATTCACAAAAATTAATGGTCTTTTACCAGCAAAACTGAATATTACAGCTTTTCAACTATATTCTAAATAAAAATAATTCAAAATTCAAAAAATTCAGAATAAGTGCTTTATTTTTTTAATCTCACAAAAACTGAAACTATCATTTACATCAGTTGTAATAGCAATAAAAATTAGAAATCAATTTGCTATAACTCTTGAAAACATTTATAAAGACAAAACAAAATCAAACAAAAAATAAAAAGGTAAAACTAAGTATTCATTTTAAATTAAAGATAATCTGACTCCTTATGACCTACCCACTTGCAGATGTATAAATAGCAGATGCATTCAAAACAGTGCAAGATTTAATTAGTTCAGGACAATATTCCAACCAACCCCAATGTAGGTTTTAAATTACTTGTGCACGTTTATATAGAATCATAAAAATAAACCTCTAATATGTAATCAGCTTATGCCAATTCAGAAAACTCCACACCAATACAACAACTGTGGAAATCATGAGATATGACTGGGGGGAGAAAAGCAAAACCTAGCATCAAACTCACTGTAACTATAATCTTGCTATATATTCCTACTTTTGTTTAAAAAAAAAGTTTTCTTTAAACTATATGTCTCAAAGAAATACTAAATGTATAATTTCATATTCTTTTTTGAATTTAAAAAATATATACGTAATCCTCCTTTGTTTTTGGTAAGTTCAAATATGAATTGACAGTGGGGTAATTGGATTGTGGATTCTTTAAGAAAGCTCTATAGAATAGAAGAATACAACATACTATATCTTCTTTAAGAAGTATGAGCTGAAATGTTAGGCATTCCTTGTATTGTTTTTTAAATATATTTAAGGAATGCTGTTTTTGTAAAACCATGGCTTTGAAAAAGAAATCTGAGATCAAAATACATTACTAGAGGATCTCTATAAAAGGTCACCAAGACTATCCTTGTTTGTGAAATCAGGGAAAACATTTTTAGAATTTATCTTGTTAGAAAAAATGCTACCACTTTTCTTTCTTTTTCTTCTTTCTGGTTATCACAATTAAACATCAGAAGATTTTCCCTAAATAAATACTGATGTAAACGTTGACTTCAAGGACAAAGAACTTTCGTAAGAGTCTATTTCTCAGGCATTTCACCATTTCTTGAGACCACAGGCCACAGGCAGCACTGTTTAATGTGAATTGTCACTGGACTCTGGTGAAGTATTCCTTCTGGGATCGTTTATTGGGACCTGAAGCTGACTGGTAGATGTAGGTTTAGCAGCATTTGGTGGCTTTGTAGAGGAATTAGGTGGAAGTCTATGACGATTACTCTCCTCACCAGAAGTAGATGAATGTCTTTTTCTTCCAAATTCCTCACTAATAGGGGGCTGCAAATGATGAAAGACAACACCATTGACAATTTTACTGTTTTTCCTCCCTTCAGAACCTAAGGCTAGACTTTTCCCCCAAAAAAAGTAAGTTAAATGGACACTTCAGTAGATTTTTTTTTTGACGGAGTCTCGCTCTGTCGCCCAGGCTGGAGTGCAGTGGCACGATCTCCGCTCACTGCAACCTCCGCCTCCCGGGTTCACGCTGTTCACCCGCCCCACAGATTTTATTAGTATAACAAAAACTTAACAGCAACTTAAGATACTAAACTTAAATTTCCTTCCTAACTAAATCAGCCTACTAGTATTTGCTCATTCTTTTACTCAATATATGTTTGTGGTTTTTGTTTTTGTTTTGTTTTGTTTTTTGAGACCTAGTCTCACTCTGTAGCCCGAGTGTTTTTTTGTTTGTTTGTTTGTTTTGTGGTTTTTTTTTTTTTTTTTTGAGACAGAGTCTCACTCTGTAGCCTAAGCTGATGTGCAGTGGCGTGATCTCGGCTCACTGCAACCTTCGCCTTTGGGGCTCAAGCGATTCTCCTGCCTCAGCCTCCCAGGTAGCTGGGACTAGAGGCGCCCGCCACCACACCCGGTTAATTTTTTTGTATTTTTAGTAGAGACGGGGTTTCACCATGTTGCCCTGGGTGATCTCAAACTCCTGAGGTCAGGTGATCCACCCGCCTCGGCCTCCCAAAGTGCTGGGATTACAGGCGTGAGCCACCATGCCCGGCCTCAATATGTGTTTATTAAGCTTCTCTCATGTTTTAGGCCTGAGCTATCTAATAGGGCACAAGTATAAGGTTGGGTTCCTTGCCTCCAAGAAAATGTTTCAGCGAGGCAATTTGCCTTCTTTATTCAATTTCGTCAGCTGTAAAAGATTTGTATCTCCAGTCTCTTTCTCAATCTCCTATTCCAGGCTTGCTTAAGTGAAAATGTTTAACAGATAAATGAAAGCAGTAGAGGAATAAAAAAGATGCCAAGTTAAATTGTCATTGCAAGTTTGAAGGTTTATCTAGAATTCCTATGATAAGGAGACTGGAGAGTATTATTGATGATACCAAATTTAAACATCTTCAAACGTTTAAGTACCCAGTGAAAAGGCATCCTGCATTCAAAAAAAGTCAGTTTTTTAGGCCTTTCCAGTTACCAAGATTTGGGAGCCCAGAACTGGACACCAATGAAATAATATTTTTATGTGGAGATAAATTAAGATAGCAACCTCCTTATCCAATCCTCCGTTGTACTTAAAGGAGGAGGCCTGAATTCTTGGCTTATGTTCAGATGGGACAAGAGTCTCAAATATAGAGCAAGGATGTCTTTGTGATAGAACTGGTTAGACCACTCTAGAAAAATAGCTCTTAATTCAAGAGACAGGCACTTTTATTAACCCTATCCCTGGGTCATCAAGTCCATTTACACAAAACTGCAAGACAAATTACAACACAAAGCAGAGATGATGAACCTAGCCTTCCTTTGACTTCTTTTCTATTTTTAAATTTAAAATTTTTCTTCTTCCTCTTTTTTTTTTTTTTTTTTTTAGACAGAGTCTCATTCTGTTGCCTAGGTTGGAGTGCAGTGGCACAATCCCGGCTCACTGCAACCTCCGCCTTCCAGGTTCAAGCAATTCTTGTGCCTCAGCCTCCCGAGTAGCAGGGATTACACACATGCACCATCACACCCAGTTAATTTTTGTATTTTTAGTAGAGACAGGGTTTTGCCATGTTGACCAGGCTGGTCTTGAACTACTGGCATCAGGTGATCCACCCGCCTCAGCCTCCCAAAGTGCTGGAATTACAGGTGTGAGTTACCATGCCCAGCCTTTCTCCTTAATTTTTTATTTATCTTCTTCCTCCTTTTCCTTTATCTTCTTAGATTCTTGACATTTTTTAATGCTTTTCTTTTCCTTTTGAAATCAAATTGATAAAGCCTACATAAGTTCAACCTTCAACCAAAGGTGATGAGAAGAACTCATGAGAGTGGACATCGTCATAAGATGGCAGCAAAAGGACCCTGTCTAGCTGACTCAACTAAAAGACACCACTCTTGTGCTTGCACACATGCACACAACATTCTCTCCTTAATTTTATTATGCAGGTACCCTAAATCCATATCAGCACATGTTACAGAAAGTATATGGATAAAAGATCATTAAAAAGTGAAAAGTTTTCACATTGCTAGTGACAAATTAGCATATCAGATAAAAATTAATAAATTTAGAAAATGTTTAATTATAGAAGCATACGAAAATTAAATTGAATTAACAATTGCACTGTGGTTATGCAAGATGTTAACATTTGGGAAATCTGAGTGAACAGAGTATATGGGAATTCTCTGAACTATTTTTGTATCTATTTCAAAGTTTAATTTTAAAACTAAAAAGTTAAAAAATAAAAATTACAAAATTAAAGCTTAAAAAGTCACTGATAAGAGATTGAAATATATGAAGAATAAAAAGAATAGAGGAAACGACTTAAAACTTACATCAACACGGAAGTCTTCTAACCTCTTAAAACTACAGAGGTATTCCTGAAGTTTTGGGTCAATAGACTGTGCCGTAGATTGAGAATACTTCAAATAAGCCCAAAACTTTTCTAGTCCATACAGCTGACCTAATAACGAAGAAGAATATACATTATAAATTATATAAAATTTTAAAAATGATTCACATTAAATATAATCCTATCAGCAGTAAACAATTTATCTTCCAATATATGCTTACTGTAGATCTTGAGAATAAGACATGTAATGAATTAAGCAATAATGGCAGCTAATATTTATTGAGCATTTGCTATGTAACAAGTATTAAGTGCTTTATTTTGCATCAAACTAATTTGACCCATATACAACCCAAAAGATGGATGTTCTCATATATATTACAGATGAGAAAACTGAGGATAGCAAGGATAGGCAATTTACCCACCGTCACAAAGATTCTAAATAGTGGAAAGGGAATTTGGACCTAGCAATCTGGCCCAGAGCCTGCACTCTTAACCACTGTGCTATTTCTGCCTTTTCAAGCTTACCTGCTGATGTTGCATAGAATTTTCATGTAATGGAACATCAGTGAGTAGCCATGTTTGTCAAAGGGATAATGACAAAATATACCTCCATAAAAGAAAGACTTGAGAGTAGTTACTTTCCAACACCTCCCAGGAAGGGCCTTCTTACTACCTGGTGCCCCATCCTTCATCAAGAAACATAATAATAGCATGAAGATCTTAAATGGTTTGCCTTGAAGAAAAAAACTATGAATTCCCTCCCTATTTACTGACAGACTCAGGTTTACAATTTCCAATTAGAGTATAAATTTTCTGATGTTATTGTTACCAGATTCGTAGTCTTTTTTGGTTTCTTCTTGGAAATCCTGAAAAATTTCTTGCCTGAATTTTTTTTCCAGTCCATAACTATAAAACCTGAACAGACATTCTAACCCATACCTATAAAGAGAAAATAAAAGGTTTATAATAAAATATAATCTCTCTATAGTAGTAACATCAATATAAGCAAACATGGCACAAATAATCCTAAATGAAAAATAACATCTTAGCATTCAGATTTTTTAATTTTTTTGAGACTGAGTCTCACTCTTACTGTCCAGGTTGGAGTACAATGGTGCGACCTCAGCTCACTGCAACCTCTGCCTCCCTGGTTCAAGCTATTCTCCTGCCTCAGCCTCCTGAGTAGCTGGGATTACAGGTGACCACCACCGTGCCCAGCTAATTTTTTGTATTTTTAGTAGAAAAGGGTTTTTACCATGTTGGCCAGGCTGGTCTCAAACTCCTGACCTCAGGTGATCCATTCGCCTCGGCCTCCCAAAGTGGGATTACAGGTGTGAGTCACTGCGCCCAGCCAGTATGCAGATTTTTAACTGAACTGATAATTAGTAATCCATAGCTGGCTTTGCTATTTTTGTTGACTCATCCATAGCACATCATGAAGGTATACAGAGAACCTGCTGCATGAGAGGCAGCCCTTGGACAGTTCAGTATGACCTCTTTAGATGCACACAGTATCTCTCCCTGGTGTTTCTGAAGAACTGGCCAAAAGATTTAGTGATAAATTGGGGATGTGTCAGATTTTCCCGAAACCAAAATGTATACTGGTGTGTTTGTACACAGTATTAAATAAATACTCTTGAATGTAAGCTTTACTCTAGGAAGATAAAGACCATAGAGCTGTGCCCTAGATCCTAGGTGTGGTTGTCCCATTCAACTATAATGGTACAAACATAATTAAATGGTTAAGAGAGCCTCCCTGCTTTCATTATAAAGTACAATTAATAGTAGATACATTGCTAATAGAGCTAAAATCACTACAACCTTCAACCACAGGTGATGAGCAGAACCCACGGAAGTGAAACAATGCTGTAAGATGGCAACAAAAAGACCTTGTCTAGCTGACTCCACTAAAAGATACCACAATTAAAACACTCCTAAGTTAGAATCCTGAGTCTTTCTGGGTACCTCAGCAGAAAGGCTGCAACCTCTCCATTCTGCTAACATAATGTTAACAGGCTGTCAGTCACAGGAAGCAGGGTGTGTGATTGTGTGTCTCTTTTGTAACTAGCTTATTTACAAGACGAAGAGTGATGGTCTGGCAAGCCAATAAGAGAAATGCAGGACTGCCAACTACACACTTAAACACTAACCTGAGCCCTTGGCTCCCATAGCCTTAAGTGATGCTACTGGTTGAGCTTGCATGACTGAAGTCTAAGGAGATCAAAGACTAAAGGAGCCACAGTTCACAATGACAAACTTGCTTTGATGTTCCTCTTATGGGATCATACTATACCGACATCAGTTGTTCTCAGTCTTAGCTACATATTATAATCATCTGGGGAGCTTTTAAAAAATACTGATGCCCAGGCTCTGCTCCAAACCGATGGAATCAGGATCTTTTTTTTTTAATTTTTAAAATTTTTGTGGGTACACAGTGGGTGCATATATTTATGGGGCACATGACATGTTTTGATACAGGCATGCAATGTGAGATAAGCCTGTCATGGGGAATGGAGTATCCACCCCCTCAAGTATTTATCCTTTGAGTTACAAACAATTCAATTACACTCTTTAAGCCACTTTATTTATTCATTTTTTAAATTTTATTTATTTATTTATTCTTTTGAGACAGAGTTTTGCTCTTGTTGCCCACGCTGGAGTGCAGTGGTGCAATCTCGGCTCACTGCAACCTCCACCTACTGGGTTCAAGCAATTCTTCTGCCTCAGCCTCCCGAGTAGCTGGGATTACAGGCGCCTGCCACAATGTCTGGCTAATTTTTGATTTTTGGTAGAAACGGGGTTTCACCATGTTGGCCAGGCTGGTCTTCAACTCCTGATGTCACGTGATCCACCCACCTCGGCCTCCCAAAGTGCTGGGATTACAAGCATGAGCCACCATGCCAGGCTTCTTTCAGCCATTTTAAAATGCACAATTAAGCTACCACTGACTATAGTCACCCTATTATGCTATCAAAGAGTAGGTCTTATTCATTCTTTCCAATCATTTTTATTTTTTGTACCCAAAATCAGAATCTTTGAGGTGAAGCCTAGGTATCTCTCTCTATTTCTGGAGAAGTAAGTTTTTGGTTTTTATCAAGTAAATCATATTTCAGAGGAATACAGAAATTCTTACATTATTGATAAAGGATTAATACTCAATACAACATTTATATTGAATAGGCAATATTTGGATTTTTACTCTTATTTCTTAGCAAACTATTCCAAAGACCAAAAGTATGACATTAATAACACAACCCAAACATGCAGCATAACTGCTGGAGTGAAGGACCGAGGCAAATGATTAGTGCTCTCAGTTGTCATTTACTCATTTACCACTTACTTCAAGACAGCTCAGAGGAGTAGAAGACCCAGAGGCTTAGAACCAGAAGGAACTATATTTGAATCATGGGCTTATAATTATATCACTGAAAATTGAGTCAATTAGATCCTATTTTTCAAAAATAGGTATTTGTAAACCTTCTAGACCACAGCTAGCACATTGAAGACATGTAAGAAATGTTAGCTCTCCCCCTCCTTCCTGAAATCACATTATTACTACTTTCAACCAATGGACAGAATTAGTAACAATTCCATAATAACAATAATCATCTGGCCAGCCACCGTGGCTCATGCCTGTAATCCTAGCACTTTGGGAGGCCGAGGTGGGTGGATCACTTGAGGTCAGGTGTTCAAGACCAGCCTGGCCAATATGGTAAAACCCCATTTCTACTAAAAATACAAACATTAGCCTGGTGGGGTGGTGGGCACCTGTGATCCCAGCTACTTGGGAGGCTGAGGCAGAAGAATCGCCTGAACCCAGGAGGCAGAGGTTACAGTGAGCCGAGGTGGTGACACTGCACTCCAGCCTAGGCAACAGTGCTACTTTGTCTCAAAAAAGAAAAGAAAAGGAAAGGAAAGAAAAGAAGGAAAGAAAGAAAGAAAAAAGAAAAGAAAGGAAAAGAGAGAGAGAGGGAGGGAGGGAGAGAGGAGAGAAAGAGAGAGAGAAAGAGAAAGAAAGGAAGGAGAGGAGAGGAAGGAGAGGAGAGGAGAGGAGAGGAGAGGAGAGGAGAGGAGAGGAGAGGAGGAAGGGAAGGAGGGAGGGAGGGAATCATCTATCAAGCACTTACTATACATAAGTTAAGGTGTTAGGCCCTTTAAATGCTTAGTGTAACCTTCACAATAACCCTGTGAGAGAGTATGTATCATAATTTAACCTTTTTTGTTGTTGTTGAGACAGGGTCTTGCTCTGTCACCCAGACTGAAGTGCAGTAGCGCAACCTCTGCTCACTGCAATCTCCTCCTCCCAGGCTCAAGCAGTTCTCATGTTTCAGCCTCCCAAGTAGCTATAAGCGCAGGCCACCACGCCAATCTAATTTTTCTATTTTTAGAAGAGATGAGGTTTTGCCATGTTGGCCAGGCTAGTCTCAAACTCCTGGCCTCAGTGATCTGCCTGCCTCGGCCTCCCAAAGTGCAAGGATTACAGGTGTGAGCCACCATGCCTGGCTTAACCTACTTTTTATAAAGAACATAAAGCCTGGTGGGATTACAATCTGTCATCTGTAAATTAATGGCTGGGACTCAAACATAGTCCTGATTTCAAGGACTTCAGGTGCTTAACCACTACTTCCTAAGAAGTAGCTAATACAGTCGAGTGGTAAATCCTGCAGAAACAGAACCAAAGGTAGGAAACTATGTTACAAAGGTATTAGAAACATATGCAGAATTATGTGTATAGAAACACAGAAGAAGAACTCCCAAACTAGACTTGGGTGGAAATGGAATCAGAGAAGTTATTAGAAAGTCTTAAGGAACAAACAGAAATTGCATAAATAGCAAAATATGCTGAGATCAATTAAAACAATGGCTTTCAAACTTTTCTGACTAGGTCCAACACTATAAAAAATATTTTACCTTATAACTAAATCAACATGTACATCTCTATATGTGTGTACATAAAAATATGTATGTTTTGCAAAACAGTTCTTAAATTTGTATGTATGTGGGTATGAATTAAATTTGTATGTATGAATTACTATGCTCAGTGCAGTCTGGTATTTTCTACTGCATTTTTAAAAGCACGTTAGAACCACTAAATTGATTTTTGATTGACGAATAGGTAGCAAACCATAGTTTGAAAAAGAACAATGAGATCAGGAATGGCAAATTTTGCCTTTTATGCCAACTCTGGTAAACTGGCAGTAGCTATTAAAGTCATAAGGAAGAGTATAAATCTGAAAAGTGTGGTAAGAAAGAACATAAAACGTAACAGGGATTGATTAGAGATATCAGTAATAGAGGAAAAAGAGCTAAACATGCCATGGATCTGCTGTTCCTGATATAGATAACAGATAAAAATTAAACAGGCTTTGTTTTTACATAAGTCAACACAAAGAAATTTTTGTGTTTTTAATCAGAAAAATTTATTTGTAGCACCTTGCATTCTTCTCAAAGATCACAATATCTGATAAACAATATATTCTTATTTGAGATTTATAAGAGGAATCCATTTTCAGAACTTAAAGAAGGGTACATTTAGGTAAATATGATTGAATGAAAAATCATCTTTTTCCCTTCTCTCCATGTCTCGTTCCTTTCTCCTTTTGCCCATGAATAAATAGCCTTCTTGAGTCCATGCCATGTTCCTTCTTACCCTCTTGGTCTGCCCTCACTCAGCCCTACAGGCACTCTCAAGACTTTCCGTGAACATTTCTGAAGAAAGCAAGGTCTAAGCTGGGATAAAAAGAATAGGATTTAGAAAAGCACAGGGAGGATGAAGAGAAGTAGAAGCAAAGTTAAGAACATGCACAGATGTCCAGAGGCTAGAGAGCTTGGTTCATTTGAAGAATATGTATCAGTACCACTGCTGCCCAGAGTACTAGAGGATTAGTGGGGAAAAAATTAGACAAGGTGAGTCAAGGGACGTATTGTGAGATGCCTTGCTTTTTTTTTCTTAAAGAATCTTAAGAACTGGGTTGGCTCTAAGTATATATCAATTGGGGTATGTATCTGTACATGCAAGGGAAGTCTGTAATGGTGGCAGCATGGGAGAGAAAAGTTTTGTAATTTCATTCAGCCCTTGTGCCAGCCTCTAAGATGGTTCCTAATGATCCCATCTCTTGGTATTAACCTTGTGTAGTACCCTCCCATACTGTGCCAGGCCTGGTCTGTATCGACAATACAATATGGCAGAAATAATGGTATGCCACTTCCAAGTGCAGGTTGTATAAAATACTGAGGCTTCAATTTTGGAAGCCTTACTCACTCAGGGTAAAACCATATTGTAAAATGCCCTAGGGAAGGTCAATGTGGCAAGGAACTGAAGCCTCCTGCCAACAGCCATGTGAATGAACTTGAAAAAGAACCTCCAGCCCAGGCCAAGTCTTCAGACACTGCAGCTGCCTTCAACATCTTGGCTGCAAGCTCATGAGAAACCATGAGCCAGAACCATCCAGCTAAGCGGTTCCTGGAGTCTCAACTCTTTGAAGCTGTGAACTAGCAAATGTTTATTGTTTTAACCTATGGAGTTTTGGGGTAATTTGCAATGCAGAAATAGGAAACTAATACAGCCCTCCCTCTAGTTATATTGTGCTACTTTCACAGTTCAAAATCAGGTTACTTCAGTACTAGTTTTTAAAATTATTTTCTAAAAACTCCCTCTATCGGATCTACCTGGGGAAAGAAAAAAAGAAGAAGAAAAAATTAAAACTCCCTCAAAGTGTAAAAGAAAATATCTTACCTGTAATTTTCTTTTGCATCTTCCCAAGCAAGTTGTCTAAATTCCTCATACATTTTTTTATTGAAGTGATCTCTGAGGAAAAAGGACCAGAAACGAAAGAGGGTATTCATTTCTTGGGACTGACCAATTCCCAAGCGTTTTCTCTCTGAAAAAGTTACATAAAATATTATTTTATTAAACATACTTTTTAAAGACAAGAGAGCAGATGTTATATATAAAATGAAGAAAGCTCAACAGTATAATCCTCAAAGTGTATTTAGCTTTCTTCTAAATAGAGCGGGGATCTCCCACCCCCTGGTCACAGACTGGTACCCTATTGTGAACTGCAGATGTGAGGGATCTAGATTGGCCACTCCTTAAGGGAATCTAATACCTGATGATCTGAGGTGGAACAGTTTTATCTAAAACCATCCCCCACGGAAAGACTGTCTTCCATGAAACAGGTTGCTGATGCCAAAAGGATTGAGGACTGCTGAAATAGCTGACAAATGTTAAATCAATTTTCTGACTCATTGCTTAAATTATAAATATCTGCCAATAGCAACAAGAAGAGTATATTAAATTTTTTTTTCTTTTTTTGAAACGGAGTCTCACTCTGTCGCCCAGGCTAGAGTGCAATGGCACGATTTCGGTTCACTGCAACCTCTGCCTCCCAGGTCTCAGCAATTCTCCTGCCTCAACCTCCTGAGTAGCTGGGATTACAGTCGCCTGCCATCACATCTGGCTAACTTTTGTATTTTTAGTAGAGAAGGAGTTTCACTATGTTGGCCAGGCCAGTCTCAAACTCCTGACCTCAAGTGATCTCCCTGCTTTGGTCTCCCAAAGTGCTGAGATTACAGGCATGAACTACCATGCTCGGCTGAGTTTGTTAATTTTTATTTCCTAATGTGTCTAAGTTAAAAAGTACATAAATAAAGAATATATATAAACACATTTACTGAAAGTAAAACTATTTATAGTCTAACAATAAAAGAATATCTTAACTTGATATTAAAGGACAACATATTAAATTTTTTAAAATTATATTTTAATTTTAAATATCTTAAATAGATAGATAAAGGACAAGCATCTTACCACTTAGGCATCTTCGACGATATTTGTGGTACACTTGTTGGGTAAAGCCATTTTCCTTCAAAAGTTCATGAGAAGGATGCTGGAACTTTGGGAATGAATGAGGAGTACATCCATAACTTCCTGCTAGTGGTGTGCCTTCTGAAGGTGAAGCATTTGAAGTGCTGTTTGAGGAAGCGGAAAAAAGCCTTCAAAATGAAAAATCAAGAACCAAGTATATGAACAAATTTGTAGTATTTTTTTCATTATTGGGGGTCTAAGCAGTGGAAAAGACAGTAGTCTCTAAAACTCCCCTAAATGACATACAGATCTGCATATAGTGCTATTTATGTTCAATACAGTTTATGTAAATTCAGAAGCTGATAAAAAGCATAGTCATAAACTCTCAAGTTAACACAGTAAGTAGAAGCAGGTAACTGAATAGCTCATTCCTCCTCCAAATCATTATTAATTTAGTTTAGTTTATTATTATTATGGTACTGTAGAAATTTTCAACTTATCTTGAATAATTTAGATTAATGATGTAAATTGAATACATGGAGATTAGGGATAAAATCTGGCACAAAGATGGGCAATAATTTCATTATGTCAAAGACATACCTGCAATTTCCTTTTTTCTCTAAAAGCATCAAAAGTAAGACAGAACCACAATTCTCTAAATCAATTCCACTTTTGATCTATCCCCTAAATCTGTCTTTTCCTTCTCATCTGCACTCAAATTCAAATTTAGACCTAAATTAAAATTTAGACCTTCCTCTTCTTTCACTTGAATTATCCTGTCTGTTTTTCCAAGTGTCCCTTCTCTATCCTGCCACCAAAGTTATCTTCCTAAAACATTTATCTAAATCATTGGTTCTCAAAGTGGTCTGCAGCAGCATAAATCAAAATTTCATTCCTTTTTGTGGCTGAATATTTATATTCCATTGTATGTATTTATCTAGTCATTTGTTGTTGGATACTTGTTTATCCAGTCTTTTGTTGAGATTCCCACTTTTGGCTATCATGAATAATGCTGCTACAAACATGGACATCCAATATGTGTTTTCAATACTTTCGACATATAACTAAGAGTGGTATAGCTGGGTCATATGGTAATTCTATGTTTTAACATTTTGAGAAAATGCTAAACTGTTTTCTACAGCAGCTGAGGCATTTTATAGTCCCACCAGCAATGCATGTGGGTTCTAATTTCTCCACATCCTCACAAACATTTATTTTCAGGTTTTTTTGATTACACATATCTATATTAGTTAGCTCAAGCTGCCATAAAAAGATAGCACAGACTTGGTGGGTTAAACAATAGAAATTTATTTCTTTGCAGTTCCAGGGGATAGAAATCTAGGATCAGTATGACAATAGGGTTGGTTTCTGATGAGGCCTCTCTTTCTGACTTGCAGATAGCCATCTTCTCGCTGTATCTTCACATGGCCTGTCTTCTGTACAGGCAAAAAGAGAGATATTTCTGGTGTCTCTTCCTCTCCTTATAAAGACAACTTCTATCAGATTAGGACTCTACCCTTATGACCTCATTTAACCTTATCACCTCCTTAAAAGTCCTCTCTCCAAAAACAGTCACATCAGGGGTTAGGAATTCAACACAGGAATTTTGGGAGGCAGGAAGGAGACATAATTCAGTTCACAACACCATCCTAGTGGGTATAAAGTGGTATTTCATTTTGGCTTTTTGAATTTATGTTTCTCTAATGACTATGTTGAGCATCTTTCCATGGGCTTACTGCCCATTTGTATATTTTCTTTGGAAAATGTCTACTGAAGTCCTTCACACTTTTTTTTTCAAAGACAGGGTCTCCCTCTGTCACCCAGGTTGGAGTGCAGTGGTGTGAACATGTTTGACTGCAGCCTTGAACTCCTGGGCTCAAGCAATCCTACCATCTCAGCCTCCTGACCTACCATCTCAGCCTCCTGAGTAGCTGGAACCACAGGTGTATGCCACCATGCCAAGCTAATGTTTTGTTTTGTAGCGACAGGGTTTTGCCATGTTGCCCAGTCTGGTCTCAAACTCCTGTGCTCAAGCAATCCTCCTTCCTTGGCCTCCCAAAGTGCTAGGATAACAGATATAAGCCACTGTGTTTGGCCTTTTGCATATTTTAGAAAATAAGGGTTTTGTTGTTATTATTGTAAGAGTTCTTTATATATTCTAGATTTAAGTCCCTTATCAGATATATTATTTGCAAATAATTTCTCCCATTCAGTGGGTGGCCTTTCTTGTTGATAGTATCCTTTGATGTACATATGTTCATTTTTTTTTCATCATTTTGATGAAGTCCCTTTATCTATTTTTTTTCATTAGCAGGTAGCCATGTACATTTGTCTATTTTTTGCTGTTGCCTATGATTTTGGTGTCATATCCATAAACAATGAGGCCAAGGCTGGCGCGGTGGCTCACGTTTGTAATCCCAGCACTTTGGGAGGCCAAGGCAGGCAGATCATGAGGTCAGGAGATCGAGACCATCCTGGTTAACACGGTGAAACCCCGTCTATACTAAAAATACAAAAAATTAGCTGGGTGTGGTGGCAGGCGCCTGTAGTCCCAGCTACTCGGGAGGCTGAGGCAGGAGAATGGTGTGAACCTGGGAGGTGGAGCTTGCAGTGAGCAGAGATCACGCCACTGCACTCCAGCCTGGGCGACAGAGCAAGACTCCATCTCAAAAAAAATGAGGCCAAATCCAATGTCATGAAAGTTTTGCCCTACATTTTCTTTTAAGAGTCTTATCTCTTTAGTTTAGGTTTTTAATCCACGTTGAGCTAATTTTTTTTTTTTTTTTTTTTTTTTTTGAGATGAAGTCTCGCTCTGCCGCCCAGGCTGGAATGCAGTGGTGCAATCTCGGCTCATTGCAACCTCCACCTCCCAGGTCCAAGCGAATCTCCTGTCTCTGTCTCCTGAGTAGTTGGGATTACAGGCGCATGCCACTACACACAGCTAATTGTTGTATTTTTAGTAGAGACGGGGTTTCACCATGTTGGCCAGGCTGGTCTCGAACTCCTGACCTCAGGTGATCCACCCGTCTCTGCCTCCCAAAGTGCTGGGATTACAGGCATAAGCCACCGCACCAAGTCTAATTTTTTTTATATGGTAAATGTTAAGGGTCTACTTTCATTCTTTTATATATGGATATCCAGTTCTCCCAGCACCGTTAGTTGAAAAGATGATCCTTGTTCCATTAAATGGTCTCGGCACCTTTATCAGAAATAAATTGTCACATATGTGAGAATTTATTTCTGGGCTCTCTATTCTATTCCATTGGTCAATATGTCTGTTCTTATGCCAGTACCATATTGTTTTCTTTGTTTTCATTTGTTTCTTTTTAGAGATGAAAGTCTCACTATGTTGCCCAGGCTGGATTCAAACTCCTGGGCTCATGCAATCCTCCCATCTCAGCTTCCCGAATAGCTGGGACTACAGGTGCATGTTACCATGCCCAGTTTATACTATTTTAATTATTGCAGTTTTGTGGCAACTTTCAAAGTCAGGAGGTGTTAGTCTTCCAATTTTATTCTTCTTTTTAAAAATTGTTTTGGCTATTCAGGGCTACTTGCAATTACATACGAATTTGAGATGTGGCTCTTCCATTTCTGTAAAAAAGACTGTTGGAATATTGACAGAAATTAGTGCTGAAGACATAACTCATTTTGGGTAGTGCTATATTTGGATGTTTGTCCCCCACAAACCTCATGTTAAAATTTGATTCCAAAGTTGGAGGTGGAGGCCTTATCAGAGGTGACTGGATCATGGCGGCAGATCCCTCATGAGTAGATTAATGTCCTCCCTTGTTGGGGAAAGAGGGAAAGAGTTCTTACTCTACTAGTTCCCACAAGAGCTGGTTGTGAAACGAAGAGCCTAGGACCTTCCCCTTCTCTCTCTTGCCATGTGCTCTCCACACATGCAGGTCCCCTTCACTTTCTGCCATGAGTGGAAGCAGCCGAAGGCCTTCATCAGAAGCCAAGTAGATGCTGGCACCATGCTTCTTGCACAGCCTGCAGAACCATGAGCCAAATAAACTTCCTTACTTTATAAATTACCCAGCTTCATCTATTCCTTTATAGCAACATAAAGAAGGACTAAGACAGGTAATATTGATGTCTTAACAATGTTAAATCTTCTTCCCCATAAACATGGGCTGTCTTCCCATTTGTCTAGGTGTCCCACAATTTTTTCACTGAAAAATTAGAGTCTAAAAAACTCTAATTTTTTCTTAGAGTTTTCAGGGTACAAGTCTTTCAATTCCTTGGTTAGGTTTATTCCTAAATATTTCATCCTTTTTTTTTTTTTTTTTTTTTGAGGCAGGGTCTCACTCTGTCACCCAGACTGCTGAAGTGCAGTGGCATGATCTCGGCTCACTGCAACCTCTACCTTCCAGGCCCAAGTGATCCTCCCACCTCGGCCTCCCAAGTAGCTGGGGCACAGGCGTGTACCATCATACCCAGCTAATTTTTGTATTTTTTGTAGAGACGTGGTCTCACCATGTTGCCCAGGCTGGTCTTGAACTCTTGGGCTCAAGCCATCCACCCACCTTAGCTTCCCAAAGTGTTGTGACTCCAGGCCTATTTAATTCTTTTAGATGCTAATGTGAATAGGATTGCTTTGTTAGTTTTCATTTCAGACTATTCATTTCTGATATATAGAAACACTGCTGATTTTTGTGTGCTGACTTTGTATCTTGCAACTTTGCTGATTTTATTAGCTTTAGTAATTTCCCGGTGGATTCTTTGGGATTTTCTACATGTAGAATCATGTTATCTGTAAATATAGTTTTACATCTTCCTTTCAAATACAATGTTGTTTTTTTCTTGTCACCTAGCTCTTGCTAGAACTTTCAGTACAACATTGAACAGTAGTGGAGAGCACAGGCATCCTCGTGTTGTTCCTGATCTTAGCGAGAAAACTTTCAGTCTTTCACCACTGACCATGATGTTAGCTATGGGTTTCTCATAAGCACTTTTTATCATGTTGAGGTATTTTCCCTCTGTTAGCTTTCTGAGAGTTTTCAATCATGAAAGGGCATTGAATTTCGTCAAATGCTTTTTCTGTGTCAATTGAGATGATCATGCATTTTTTTTTCTTTAGTTCTATTAATATCATGTATTACATTTATTGATTTTATGTCAAATCACTCTTGCATTACTAAGAAAATCCTACCTGGCCATGGTAAATAATCCTTTTACTATG